TCTTCTTAGAACATCAATTTGTTTTAACCTTCAGTTTTTAATTCACAACATTGCACAGTTGTTAGTGTTACAGGTCTAAAGGTATGTAGTGGAGTCCTCCAAACAGAACTCTAGTTATTGTGGCCAAATTGCTGAATCTCTTCTAACAATAAAACCTTTCCACAGAAGCCATTTGGGCAGCAGCAAATTGCAGTAGTTTTTTTGAGCAAAGGCTTCTTTCTTTGCTAGCAACCTCTCAGTCTCTGATTATATCAAACCTGTAGTTTTTTAAAAACCTACCATTTAAGTTAAATGTTATTTATCAAAAATCCAGCCTGGATTATGCCAGATGTTTAATAGTTAATACATATGTGGTTGAGGTTCAACTTGCCAAGACATTTACTCAAATAATACTAAAGCTATATTAACATATTTAAGCCTGTCTAATCATTCCAAACAGGAATGATGATGATTAAAAACGCAAATTAAATATATGCTCATTTTGAGAATACATTGCTGACTTCAACTGCAAACAAGTTAAGCTGAGAATCTCATTGAATTGAGTCTGGCCCCTTCAGAAAACTCGTAAGACTGTAGCTGAATATGAAGCAACTGGATGAAAACACCCTGAGAGCCCATTATGTATTTCTGAGAATTAGAGGATTTTCCTCCTCGGCCTGGAAGCCCCAGGAGAGGGAGATCAAATACCACATAGTCTTACTCATCACTGATGGGAAGATGAAGTCTGACATTTACAAGCAGGTTGTTGTGACTTCAGTACTGATGCAATGCACCTGAATGTTGAAACTGAAGCTAAAAGGAAAACTTTAAATCGTTCAACCGATCTGCATTCTAAACACGTCCTGTGCATAAGAACTCTGGAGAAAAACAACATGATCTACTAGTTCAACTAGGTCAAATTTATTTTAAAGAGAGACTAGCCTGAACATATATCACTCGGAGCAGGATAGATCCTTTTTCACATTAGAAGATCTAAGCTGCATAGACATGGGATTTCAAGTAGAATGCCCTCTGGATCTACCTCAACTGGAGATATTCAGGACATGTCTGTTTGAAGGAAACTGAGGTGATTAAACCCCACCTGCCCCGGGAACATACCAAGGCAGAGAGGCATGTGGAATGGCTTGGTGTGGTTCAGCTGCAGCCTGGTTCTGTGTCAGCAGAAGAGAAATGGATGGATTAAGGAGGAAAACAGAACTCAGGCAACTTTTAGAGACAAGGGCACCTGGTTTGATTTAAAAGGCAACAAAGCAAGCAAAACCAATGTACTTTGGTAGCAGTGTCAATGGAAGGAAGTTACAATACAGATTTTTGTAGAATACGCATTGTGGTATTGAACACTTTTGATCAAGATAAAAATAATCCATACCTTTAATTCATACTTGAAGAAGTTTAACAATGTATTATGTTATAAAAAACATCTTACAATTACTTTTAATCTTCTGAAAATAGAGTGGCAATTAAATTTAATTTCACAAAGGTCATCTGAAGATGCTTTAGATGGAAGAAAATCAATTAAATCCAGTTTTACATAGAACCTAGTTATCAAACAATGCAGTCAAATTTGTTTATTATTCAAATTGGTTAAAAATAGTTTTCCATCAAAGGACACCTGGGAGATTGCATCAAGTCATTGACTTAGAGAAAAGTAGGAAGTTAGTTGCCTTCAATGGCTTCTTCTAGGAGAAAAACATCTTAACAGACAGAGGTGGGTACAAACTAGTTACATTGACTGTTATATTACTTGAGTAACTTTTTCTTTTAAATCTAGTTCTTCTTAGTTTAGAGTATTATAATACTTGAGTGAAACCTCTTTATAATCTCCTCACTGTGAATAACTTCACTGAATGAGGAACAAACATGTTTGTACTTGTTCTAAACTTGGAGTTTAAGTTGAAGTGAACCTTCTTGTTTGTACACAATCTTTGATCTAAAGCTATTTTCTGTCTGTTGAACCGGTTATACTGTCATGTGGAAGTGAATATACCGTAAACACTATACATTGTAACTGGAAGTACTTTACCTGTTCTCATACTTATTATCTATTACCTACTGTAATTTGTCACAATGGGATACATATGGTTAAATAAAGATTATTATTGTTATTCGTCATTGATTTGTATTCATTTTAGTCCATCAGACTTTGCACATAATTATGTTTTTTGTCTGTTGACATTATAAAATATCAAATAAATGTTATGATCAATTACTCAGTACGTTTTTCAAGAATACTCCTGATGTACATTTATTTTACTTTGTGCCAGTCTCAACATAAACCCCCCAAAACGATGTTGAACTTGTGTTGCGACGTGAAAAAAGTATAAAGACTTAGAGGTTGTGAATACTTTCACAAGGCCCTTTACACAGACAGCCGTTTCCCTGAAGAAGGATTCCCTCTGTGACATTACAAAATGTCACATGACTGGCATAATTACCTTGTTAGCTTCTTCTTTTGATGTCTTAATTTTGCTTCACGTGCCTCACCAGACAAGCCTGAGAAAGTGACTTGGAACGCCCGTGTTTACGAAGCTCTTTTAATCAGTTTATGTCCTCTATTATCATGTACATTTTTCCTTCATTCCTCCTTCGCTGTTCATCTACAATCCAATTCCATTCCCAGCTCTGTCCTCATCACTCCTCTCCACTACTGCAGATCCATTAGGTAATGAACCAGCTCAGTAAATCACTGCTACTGTACATATGACTAAAAGCCTTACATAAAAAAATGTAAAAAAAATCGCCCATGCTTGGCTAAATCAGCATTCTCCACAGCAATGCAGCATGATACAGTCTTACGTAAGGCAGAAAAAAGGACCGTGCTGTGCTAAGTCCTTCACCACAGGCAGGACACTTGTTAGTGGATCTTATGTCTCAACAGCACGGAGAGATGATTATGAGTGGGTCAATATTAGGAACACTGGCTGTATTGATGTTTGGAGGCTGCTGGGAAGACTTCCCTCTTTCTCCTGCTGTTAAATCCAAGAATAGATGGGATGGACAACTTTTAGAGAAAGAAAGGGCTTTAGATGCTCCTCTTGTCTCTGTCCCAATAAACTCAGTAGATTTATACTCTCCTACCAGTGTCCTCTATGTGAAGAGCAGCTGTGAGTGCGCATTCTTGAGAGCTCAGCTAACAGATCCCATCCTAAGATGTGACTGCTGTGTGCGCTTGGTGACATGGAACAGGTTGCTGGTATAGCTTTTCTTCAAACAGGGCTGAGAAAATATTAACCAGCTGTTATGGGCCAGCTATGTTAGGAATGCATGTCTTTGAATGCAACTGCTCTTTGTAGGATTTTTATAACCTGAAGGCCACGTTGATGCTTTTGTATGCATCAACGTCTGGGTGAAGGAAACTACAATGAGATAGATATTTGTGTTGTCCACTGAAGTGTACACAGGTTTTATTACACTCTGTGATGCGGGAATAATTGCTAGTTATGTTGTCCAGTCTCAAGCTTATAGGATTTGCTATGACACAGTTTTATGAGTCAAATTATACCAAGTCCAAGTACTGAGACATAAATACAGTATTGCAAATAAGATAAACTAAGCTTGTTGGCCTTCTGGACAAACCCTGTAAATACCCCAACAAATTCAGGAGGGATTATGTGTCTAGGAATGAATAGTATGTCAGACAATGACAGATAGCTTAACATGGTATGAAGAGCTTTGTGTCCAGTTGATCCAACAATCTTTCTGAACAACATCTGGGAAAAAAAGGTAGTTGTTGTTAAAAGTGTAACAACAATATTCTTTATTTTGTGGGATAAAATGATGAAAATAAACTGATCATTTTGCCAAACATTATTATGTATGTATGTATATTTTTATATATATGATCCCTCCAACAATAAGAGTAACTCTCCTCCAACCATTATTAGATGGAGATGATTTCCCATGTGTACAAATGTAAAATGGTCTCTTTTCCAATTTCATACTTAATCAGCAGTAAATCGGTTCGCATCTCCATATATAATTACGTTTATTTGCAACAGCTTTTTTTTACTTTACTATCATGCTATTACATAAATAACTTCCAAGTACGACATATACTTCAACATAATAAAACAGTCAAAATATATTATAGATAACACTAACTAATATAATTGTAGACTGCTTCTAGCAGTACTGCATATCATTAAACTCTGTGACAATATATTGTCGTGATATTGGCATTTGTCCTCTGCTTTGCTCTTGGGAACTGAGAGTTATCCTTTTAGTTAATATCATCACTTAAATGCATTGTTTTTTTATCATTCCAAGTTGGTCCACCAGGCAGGGTTTATAAACTGAGTTACAATTTATGTTTTTAAAACAGCATTCATTATCACAATACTTGAAACAAAGTCAAAGTAAAAACACTTTGCAGCATAGTCTTAGATGCTTCTATCTTCCATGTTTGCAATACTATTTTCCTATTTTGCAATAGGAAAATAGTAATGTTAACAATTTTCTTTTTTATACTTTCTCAATTTGAAGATAAAGTTGAAACTATGTTCATTGTTTCTTTCTTGCATAAGACCATAAAATAGTCCAGGTGAACATGGGGTCCCTCCAACATGATTTAGACACAGGATCCAGAATTTCATGCTTTGCATATTTAGGAGGGGGGCGAACCCAGGGTGTCATTCATGCAAGAAGCTCACTTATCTTACACTTCTCAGTTTCATGAGTGCATTTAATGTGATGTTAAAATGTTATTTAGCAGCAGCAAACTCATTTTTGATTTCTACAATCTAGATCTTCTCTGAGAAACTTGGTTATTAATATTTGAAGCGCAGCTACAGTTTTAGGGTTCGCTATGAGTCACCCAGCCTCATGATAAAATCACTTTTAACTTTCTTTAAAGCAGTCCCGCGGGCCCCCAACAGACCTACGCGATTAGTCAACCAAGTTTTCATTGCAACCGAAGTGGAGAGCCTGGCAGGGGAGGAGGCAGGGAGGAAAAGAGAGGAGGGGGCTGTATTTGGAGAAGAGGGGGTCACCTTTTGTGCAAATATATCAACCAACTAGACTGCCACTCGAATCAGGTTTCTGAGAGAGAGAAACGGAGAGAGAGAGAAGAGGAGAGAGACAGAGAGAGAGACAGAGAGAGAGAGAGGCGTTCATTTCGCAGGGAGAGAGAGAGAGATACGGAGAGGAAAAACATCGTTGGAGCATTGAAAGAAGCGAAAGACTTACAACTGGTCAAATTGACAGATTCTTCATCCCTCCAAATTAAATAAAAACAAAGTGAGTACTTTGTTCTAAAAACAAAGTTGAAGACGCAGTCATGGCCGGAATAAGGTTGGGACGCATAATGCCGCTGTGCACCTTGCTCCTCTGGATAATTCAAGGTAAGACCGCTACTTAAAAATAAAAACAAATATAAAAAAAGCACACAACTTTAACTTAACGTCAACTAGTGCAGGTTGGATTTTCGTGCCTGCAGGCTGTAAGTTTCCCACTTCTGTGCTCCGCTGACTCCGACTTTCAGAGCGACACCGAACCTGCCTGCACACGCCGCGTTGCGTTGCGTTGCGTTTCCCCCGCGGTTTGTGGCAACTTTCCGCTCGCTGTTGTTTGGTTCGATTCCCAATTTTTAACCATTAAGAAACCTGTTCAGTTTTGGAGTTCATACAAAAGACAAAAGGAACAAGCGGAGAAGCAGGTACATTTGTAGGTTGAACGGAATTTCTTTATTTCAACTCGAATTGGCAATAAAAAGTCCTTGCAGTTGCGCAGCCGCTGTGCGTGAAGTGATTGGTTGAAGTGTGAAAGGTGACTTGGTGGAAGTGGTTGGAGTTTTTCCATGCTACTCCTGCTACTTCAGAGGGCTTCAATCAATGAACACTTTATAGTGTCTAAATTAAAAACATAATGTTGTATAAATGTTTTTTTTGTGTTTTTTTTGTTGTTTGTTTTTTAATCCCTCATGTTTAATTGCTGGAAAAAAAATACCACAAACCCATAAAGAAAATACTGCCAAATCCTAAATCTTCTCAATAAATCTCTCCCTTTGGACTTAGAAGTACTTTCATTGAGAAGACCATACCTCTGGATCAAGATCAGGCTGGTTTCCAGCACTTTGATGTCTGATCTTTGGGATTTATGTCTCCCTTGTTGGCACTGAGCCTCCACCCTCAGCTCTCCTTTGGTGCTGCCAGAAACACTTAGTAGTTCTAAAATCCAACCTGTATTTCTCCTTATTTGATCTGTATTAAACAAACTTTGGTCATGGTTTACCGTAGAGGACTATTTATATAGTACACTCAATGCTACTCTTTAATGGTTCAGTTGTTATTTTTGTCTTTTCATCATGGAGAATATAAATCAATTTTTTTAAATCATCACAATAAACTATAATCCGTGCATGCACATTGCTGAGTACCATTTGTATGATATTAAAATATATGTAAACACACTTACAGAATCCTGGAAGTTGAAAATTACAGCCCTGCCTTTTACCTTTTGGAGGGAGGGAGTGAAGGGTGGAGCCTGAGTGCTGGCGATTCCTCTTTTTCTGTGCTTTTCTTCCTTCACCAGTAGCTCTGTCTCAAAGCAGACATTTAAACCTGATCTATGGCGCCTTGTGAAAGTATTCACATCCCATGACCTTTTACACATATTGCAGCATTTGTTATTATTTAGTGTGATAGATCAAATATAAATTAGCACATATTTATGAAGTAGTTTTCAACATTTTCAATAACAAATCTGAAAAGTGTGGGGCGTATTTAGACTTCCAGTTATCTTCCTGTTTTTTTTTTTTTTTTTTTTCCTTCCTTTCTATCCACCTTAGTCTCTTTTGGTTTTCTCAGTTCTCATTCTTTTTCATTCTACTATTTTTTAAATATCCTGTTTGGGTCTGTTGTTTGGAAGTGCCAATGTTATCATGTGCTGCAGTTTCCCTACCTTTAGCCTGCAGTCCAACCCATAATGTACTCTGTAATTGATAGAACTGGGTGTAGTGTGCAGCATATCACACAGCTGCACTGCGTTGATTAAAAGGCTTGGTTCCAGGTGCTAAGCTTATCTCCACCCTCTCTTCCCCCCATCCCTCCCTCCATCCCACACCCTGGAAATGCTGCTCTAAATGCTTTGTCTTCTTCTTTTTGGGAAACTCATATTTTTCAGTCTCCCTTGAGCATCTTTTTTTTTTTTTTTTTTGTCTAACAATAGCAGCTCTTATTCACTTTCACAGAAACTGTCTCTTAGACATACATTTTTAGATTGCTGGTCTCATGCTTGCTACTTCCAACTATGTCAATGTTGAGCACAGATGAGAAAAAAAATACAAACACAGACCACCCATATGTTTGCTGTCACTTATGTGGGTTAAAAACTCTGCCAGTAGTTTATGGAAGAAAGCTTTTACTACTGAGTCATTCCTGTTCATTAAAGCACCAACTACTGGCTGCTGAGCTTTGTGTTTCTAACAATTACAAGATTAAAGTCCAAATAGGCATTAAATTATTTTGGTATGAACAAACAATACCACAGTACCATGGTATGCACACTAAGATATAATGATGAAAATCTTATTTAAGGTAATTAGTCCAGAATACTACACTGATCATGCGGTTATTTGCTTGACTACAACCTTCTCTAAAATCTTGTCCAGGAAAGGAAGCTTTGAGATGGGTTTGTAACAGCTAACTAAAGTTAGGTGTAAAGAATCATTTTGACAAGGGCTCCGTTCAGATCAAGGGTTGGCCTCTGACACTTTGGCCTTTTTGTCTAAGGCTGCCTTAATTCCCCCTACTCATTTCCTCACTTTTTAAATTTCTGTACCCTGCCAGCGACGTATCAGAAGTGCACCCCCTGCAGCCGCGGGTAATTATTATGGTATTAGGCCAGAAACAGAGTCATTTAATCCAAAGAAAGATAAAATCCAGTGGACCTCCCTTAACAGCTGTCCTGGGGCACTTTGGGTCTCAGGTTTGTAAAGCCACACACTGAGGTATGCATAGATGTCATCTACTCATTGATCTATAGCTGTGCAGGCATGCAACCTTTAATTGTCATGTGAACACTTATATGACTAATGGGGATTCCTGATGTTAAGCAATACTTAAAACCTTATAGCTGAATTGTCAGTGGCAAAATGCTTGGGAATGCATGGGCAAGTTGGCTCCTTTTACCACTTCCAGTCCATAACAAAAATATCCACACTACTTGAACTTTTTTTAGCCATTTGATTAGAGGCAGTGGAATAGTTTATATGAAAGCATATTAATTTGTTAGAATGGCCTAATCAAATCCCAGACCTAAACCCACGTAGGATTTTGTGTCACATATATTCTCTGCCAAGTCTTACGTAGTTTAAACTATTTTGCAAGGAAAAATAGGCATACATTTCAGTCTCCAGGTGTGCAAAGTTGTTGGAGACATACCCCAAAAGACTCAAAGCTGTAATTGCAGCAAAAGGTTCAACTGCAATGAGTTAAGTCTGGGGATGAATAGAAAAGCAAAACTATGCATCACCAAAGTTTAAACCTCCATCCCAGTAAAGTACTGTAAAATTTGTACTATGAAAATGTTAAAAAGTTTAAGGAGTATGAATTTGCAAGGGACTGTGACTGAATTTTGAGTTTGTCACTGCTTGCCTCTGTCATTTGGATCTCTAGGGGGAGTAGAGGTTGAAATGGAGATTCAGAATGGTTGTGGTTGAGGATATGTGTGACTGAGATAATGACTGAGTAAATCACTGAGTTGGAATAAGTGGGATTCCTCTGCGCATGCTGCTACCTGCCATGTAATATGTTTTAGTTTGTCATCAGCTCAAATTCTACAGAAAGAAGGCTTCCTTTCTCACTTTATAGCCCCTCCAACCACATTTCTAAGACAGTAATCCATGCACAAACAAGCATCCACAATGTACTGTTTATCTCCCTCACTGAGGTAGTATTATAGATAAGAGGCTGTTTTAAGTAAGGTTTAAAAAAACTTTGAAAAGCTCTGAAGTCCATTAAAAAGGTCCAGTGCAGTTTATGATTTCCTCTGAACACCATGTTAAACCATTTCATCAAAGTGACAGGACACTGATGTTGGCGGGTGAGCTGGCAGCAAGCCCCAGACAACTGGGCATCAGCACATGGTACAGTGCACACACGTGCTTAATTCTCCAAAGTTAGTTAATAGGGTGAATGTGGTTCAGAGTGCAGATGAAAGAAAGTTTTTCTTGTCTCCTCTTTTCTTTTTTTTACAAGGTTGGAGGCTTAAAGCTGCAGTATATAACTATATATATGTTAATAATTACAACATTAATGTAATTTTTTTTACATTAATGTTGAAATTATCTTTATGTTGTGAGAATATACTATAAGACTTACAGTATGTGACAAAAATCAATCACATGGTCAAGGATGACAGGTGAACTATGAGTTGTTTCCCTGCCATTAACACATTTAGCAGCATACATGAGCATGATTGACAGTGCTAACACCCTCCTCCTGCCTCGTGTTGCGGTGTATTTTTTCGGATGATGGAGCGGATTGATCTTTTCACAGATCATCTGTCTCTTTTAAACTGTCACCACATGGTGACTGTTTTAACAAACATGGAAAAAAACACATTTTTGTAAAAGTTATGTACTACTTTAAAAAGAAGTAACTACACAAGCCTCCACAGGTTTAATCTACAGATGGATTTCACCAGATTATCCTTTTCTATGTTCACCGCAACTGTCCTTATCCCATCTGATTCATCCCCTTATTTTTGTTTGCTTCTGTTTGTTTGTATTGTTTCCATTATGATGAGAGATTTACTGCTCTTATCTTTTTCCTATTGTTGCTACGTGCGATCACTTGCTGTGATTTAACATGTTGCCTTTGCCTGTACAAACTGCTGTGCTCTAATGTGTGGCTAACTGTTAATGACCCCGCCAAGCTTCAGGAAGACAGCCTGCTGGTTTTAGAGGGCGAGGGGTCTGTTTGCTTTTACGCCCGTCCCTAGAGCCCTTTCACAATGGATTTATGAACCACTATTAATGATTTTTCAAATAAGACTGACCATCCTCCCCCGTACTTGACCTGACCACTTGTTTTTCATTATGAATAGCACTTTGTCTACTTTTGTATCCATCAACGCCATGGTTGGTATATCAACTGGATTTTTACCACCCACATTATTGAAATATTGAAAAATATTTAAAAAAAACACCATGCATGTATGATAATGGGTTGTCTGAAACCTCAGTGTGTGATTCTCTCATGTTAGTATATTAATTGCTTGATACACATTTTCCACATCCACTGAAAAAAATCCTTTCTGCTGAAAACAATTTTGGCCAAACAAGAATAAAACAAAGACATATTGAAGCCTGGGATTAAGGGAAGGAACAACCCAAGCCAGA